GGGACCTTCATCTACAGCTGTTCACTGTAGAGTGAGAGATGGATGCTAATAGAAAATTTGGGGAACAGCTAAATCTTGGGAGGAAGGGAGATGCCTTTCAGGGAGAAAGCCGACATGGGGGCAGAATCTTGAGGTAAGAGTGGCCATCTTGCCAATGTCTCGGGGCTTCTAAATAACAGGGCAAGTTGGGAAGAACTGAAAGTGAAGTCTGGACCCTAAGGTGCCGAAAAGGAGGAGAGTGACAGGAGATCAAAGATCAGATCATGAAGGACCCTGGGTACAAGACTTGGGGATTTCGATTTAATCTTGTATGCATCAGAAAGTGACTCAAGGATTTTAAGGAGGGGAGTATAGACTTGTGCTTTAGTTTTTGGCAGCAGTGGAGGATGGAGAGAGCTGAGAGAGAGAAGAGAGAGGCTACTTACTATCAAAGGCCAGGCTAGAGATGTGCCTACCGGGATTCTGGCAACAGGGAGGGTGGGATTCAAGCATGCAATTGAAAAGCCGGAAAAGAACACTCAGGAAGGTAGAATAGGGACTCAGAGATGAAGTCCTGTCACACACTTCTCACCAATGCTGACCAACTCCCAGGACTACAGAGGAGGTTAGTGCAGGGTGGTGGGGGAGAGGGGTGGTTAGATTAGAGGAGCTTGCCATAAAAAGCCTCAGTTTCCTTTTCTTCACAGAGCCACATCACCTCGCTTTTCCTACGGTCTCAAAAATATCCACCTCTACCACTGATTACAGTCTGCAGAGATGAGGTTTGCTGAAGACACCCCCTAAAGTATTCCCTGGCTGTTCTGGTCAGCCCCATCATGGGTTGCCTAGATCCAGGATGTGTCTAGATCCCAGTGAGGAGATGGGACTCACTTTACTAAAGCATACTTTCTTTCTGGCTAGGAAAGTGCTCATGGAAAGAAAAAGCAAGAAAGAAGTCTGAGGGTTTCCATGGGAATTTCTGAGAACCATGGATAACTAAAGCCTGAGGACAGCTGGGGATGGAAGTAGAAGGCCTGGCTCCAGCTCCAGGAGAGAATGGGCATAAGGCCAGGAGCTATTGGCAGGCAAGGAGGCCTCAGAGCTATGGAGCTGCTGAGGACACTGAGTTGGCCCAAAGCTGGGATAGGGGGAGGGAGGCTGTAACTTTGAAAGGTCTACATTCCTAATCCCTAGGAAATGTTAGCTTTTTCCTGAGCTGATTATAGGCCTCGTATAAAAAATTCTATCACAATTTCCTTAGGTCAAGGTCTTCTCTTCTTTACTTCCTCTCTCTTTTGCTCCATTGTTTCCTATCTTTGTTCCAAACTTTTCCTCGTATGCACGTTGTCTTTGGAAGAAGATCTCTTGCTAAAGTCTCTCCTCAGTCCTTGGGGGGTAGGGAGGCATTCTTGGGCCATTATCAGTAATGGCCTAGTTTCTAATCATTTCCTCTTGGGCTCAAGTTTAAAAGAACTAGGAGCATATCTTAGCTGGTCCTGTTCTAACCTTTAGGGCCAAGACAGGAACTACCTTTCATTGACATTTTCCTGGCATAGAGCAAAGCGCTTTTTGGCCTCCAAGGGAAGATGATCCTCGCTGGACCCTTCTGGCACATGTGAAGGAAATGCATTGTTGTAATGAATGGAAGAAGAGGGGTTTCTGTGCCATTGCCAAGCAAGGTTTGCCTTGGGTCATCACACACTTCCCAGAAGGTTCAGGGGACTTCCAAGGGAAGCCCATGAGCTGGCAAAGCATGCTCTACCTCTCCAGGAAGCAAGCTATAAACTCTGAGTCACATCTGTGGCTGCCCAGTTCCTCCTCTGAAATCCACTCCCTACAAGCTCTGGACCTCTGGACATAAATAATGGTTTATGACCAGTATGAATGCTATCTGGGCAATAGATGTCAAAGGTACACATACTCATATTCTTTGACTCAGCAATTGCACTTCTGAGGATTTAGCTACCATACGTGTGTAATGATGTATGAACATAAAGGTCATTATCGAAGTTTTTGAAATGGCAAAAGACTGGAAACAACCCAAATGCCCAACAGTGAGGAAACTAGTTAAATAAATCGTGGTACACCCATACAGTAGAACTCTATGTTGTGGTAAAAAGGAAGGAGGAAATACTTTATGTACTGCCATGGAAAGCTCTCCAAGACATATTTTAAGTTAAGGAAGCAAAGTTCAGCCCAGTGTGTATAACTTGCTATTTTTGTGTTATAAAGAGGGAAAAAAAATTAAGAATACACATACATTTGAATTTTGTTTTTCTTTTTCTTTTTTGTTTTTTGTGAGGAAGATCAGCCCTGAGCTAACATCCGATGCCAATCCTCCTCTTTTTGCTGAGGAAGATTGGCCCTGGGCTAACATCCATGCTCATCTTCCTCTACTTTATGTGGGGCGCCGCCACAGCATGACTCGATGAGCGGTGCGTCGGTGCGCGCCTGGGATACGAACCTGCAAACCCCGGGCCACTGCAGCAGAGCACGCACACGTAACCACTTGTGCCAACAGGCCAGCCCCTTGAATTTTCTTATGTATGGATAAAGTGACTGAAACGACACGTGAAAAATGAACCCAGTTACCATCTGGGGGCAAGCTGGGAAATGGGCAGATGGAGGGCAGGTGGTGGAAGTAGACTTTGCACTGTCTACTGATGACAAAACACCAGCTGGTAGGTAAATACTAGTTGGTAGTAAGTAGAGAAGAGGTTACTGATTCAGCAGCTGGTAAAATTCTTAGGTATTCTTTCCCCCAGAAAAATACTGTGAGCCCGTTATAAAGTGTGCCATTACCCCTGTTTACAAATAGTTCTAGAAGTTTTCTAATTTATGACTATAGGCCCCCTCCACAGGAATGACTGCTTGTCATAGATTTCCCCTCGCCTGTCTTTCGATATGCTAAAGACCTGGAGTGTGACAGCCTAGGCTGCAGGCTGGCAGGCGCTATCCTTATTTCCTTCCTCCCACAGCATCTTCTTTTAAATTCTGAGTCGGTGCATTTAATGTCCAAGATAATGATACTTTTTAAAGCAATTTGAACTGTGTGACTATTAACTTATTAAAAACTTTTAAAAAATTAGTGATAAGACCTGTCACCAGGAAAGTAGCAAACCCTAAACCCAAATACTCCAATTACTGTCTAGAAATATGTTTTCTCTTTTTTACTAAAATGAAGGAAAAATTTCTTGGGTATATAGTGTTATGCAAATTAGCACCTTGCTACCATTAATATTTTTTACTATGTGAAATAACTATTACATCTCTCAATAGTTATTTATGCCAGAAAATCACCTTAAATGATCCAGAGTCATCTTAGCCCTTAAAGAGGGTTAAGATCTCCCTTGGAATAATATTCTAGCACAACACTGGGAACCATGTTTTTTCACACAAAGTGAGCCCTGATTGTGAAGGGAATAAGTTCAGGGTTGCCATCAGTCAGTCTATATGAGCCTTAGTGTGAATTACAAAGTGGAACTCATTTCTCTAGATGTTTACTATCTAACAACTGGAAAATCATCCTACTATACATATTCTATTGGACTAAGATACTTTACTGTCACCTACCAGAACATTTTTTTATAATGAGAATCTTAAATTCTTGATGAGATGGTAATCCCTAGGGTTGTGCAGTGCACAACCTGCCTGACTGTACTGAGCAGCCCTGAGTAGGTTGTGTCAAGCGGTCAAGCATTCCCCCAAGCAGCAACACAGTGGCTAACAGGCCACAAGTATCGCTACTGCAGTTCTTAGGTTGGCTTGCCTCACTCTCATGAGTTGGTTGTTAAGGAGACAACGATTCACCCAAATAGATTCAGATAGTATATTACCTACACAGATGTGAGGTCAGCATTGGATCAGCTCCCCTGTCCCTGGTCCCATGGGATGAGGCCAAATCAGAGGAGGACTAGGTGACAGGTGCCACAGGCACTTGGCTTTGCCACTGAGGTGACAACTCCGAACTACAGTCAGGCATAACTTAACGATGGGGATAGATTCTGAGAAATGTGTCATTAGGCTATTTTGCTGTTGTGCGAACATCACAGAGTGTACTTACACAAACCTAGATGGTATAGCCTACTACACACCTAGGCTATATGGTACTCATCTTAAGGGACCACTGTTGTGTTTGCGGTCCGTTGACCAAGAAGTTGTTATGTGGGCATGACTATAAAGCCAAGCAGTTTTATAGCCTGCAGCCATATCCTTCAGGGGATTGCAAGTCCTGTGCTGAACTGAGATGAAGGAGGGTAATGAGAAATGGCCTTGTGTCAGTCTCCCTCAAGATAGGGGGGTGGGAGAGCAATGGCCTCAAGGCAGTTCCTCACAAGTTAGTTTATGTCCCTTAGTTTCAGAAAGAATCACAGGGCATTCAACCAAAACTTGGGTCAGATTGCAGTTAAGCTTTGTCTACATGGCCTGGGTGAAGACATGCATGTCACCAGGGTGCCAGGGTGGAGCTATTCCCCCACGTTGATGAAATATGGTGGAGTTGGGGCCGGCCCCGTGGCTTAGCGGTTAAGTGTGTCCCCTCCACTACTGGCGACCTGGGTTCAGATCCCGGGCGTGCACCAATGCACCGCTTCTCCGGCCATGCTGAGGCTGCGTCCCACATATAGCAACTAGAAGAATGTGCAACTATGACATACAACTATGTACTGGAGCTTTGGGGAAAAAAAAAAGGAGGAGGATTGGCAATAGATGTTAGCTCAGAGCCGGTCTTCCTCAGCAAAAAGAGGAGGATTAGCAGGGATGTTAGCTCAGGGCTGATCTTCCTCACAAAAAAAAAAAAGAAAGAAAGAAATATGGTGGAGTTCAGGCATTTTGGGTAGCTCAATGGACAAGAAAGACCAGGAGGGAGGAAGGAAAGAGCCTAAAATAAATAGAACTTATTGACACACTAATTGCAAGGGACAGGAATTGATTCAGAGAAGGATTTGTGCAGTTGGTTGCAAGAAGTTTCCAGCGCTCTACATTGCTCCTTGGTGGGGGTCATGGAGAAGGTGGCTTTGGCTAGAAAGAGGATGGAAGGCAGACACCAAAACATCAGCCTAACAGCCCCTCTGCTTGTTCCTTAAAGGTTTTCCACTTCAGCACAATGATACTGCCCAAAAAAATGAGGCCACTGCTATTCTTGGTTTCCCAGATGGCCATCTTAGCTCTATTCATCCATTTGTACAGCCACAACTTCAACTCCATGTCTACGAAGGAGGAGCCCGAGCCCAAGCCCGTGCACGTGCTGGTCCTGTCTTCGTGGCGCTCTGGCTCTTCTTTTGTGGGCCAGATTTTTGGGCAGCACCCGGATGTCTTCTACCTGATGGAGCCCGCCTGGCATGTCTGGATGACCTTCACACAAAGCACTGCCTGGAGGCTGCATATGGCAGTGCGGGATCTGATACGTGCCGTCTTTCTGTGTGACATGAGTGTCTTTGATGCCTACATGAAACCTGGTCCCCGAAATCAGTCCAGTCTCTTTCAGTGGGAGGGCAGCCGGGCCTTGTGTACCCCACCTGCCTGCAACATCTTCCCACGGGATAAGATCACCTCCCAGGCTCACTGCAGGCTTCTGTGCAATCGACAGCCCTTTGAGGTGGTGGAGAAGGCCTGCCGCTCCTACCGCCACGTGGTGCTCAAGGAGGTGCGCTTCTTCAACCTGCAGGTGCTCTACCCGCTGCTGAGAGACCCCTCCCTCAATCTGCACATCGTGCACCTGGTCCGAGATCCCCGGGCGGTGTTCCGTTCCCGAGAACGCACCACAGGGGAACTCATGACTGACAGCCACATTGTGATGGGCCAGTATTGGCAGAAACTCAAGAAAGAGGACCAACCCTACGGGGTGATGCAGGTGATCTGCAAAAGCCAGCTGGAGATCTACAAGGCTGCGCAGTCCTTGCCCGAAGCCCTGAAGCAGCGCTACCTGCTCATGCGCTACGAGGACCTGGTCCGGGACCCCCTGGCCCAGACTGCCCGAATGTATGAATATGTGGGGTTGAAATTCTTGCCCCAACTCCAGACCTGGGTACACAACATCACTCGAGGCAAGGGCATGGGTACTCACGCCTTCCACACAAATGCCAGGAATGCCCTCGACGTCTCCCAGGCCTGGCGCTGGTCCTTGCCTTATGAAAAGGTCTTCCGACTTCAGCAAGTCTGCAGTGATACCATGAATTTGCTGGGCTACCGCCTTGTCAGATCTGAGCAAGAGCAGAGAAACCTGTCGCTGGATCTTCTGTCTACCTGGACCCCCTCCCAGCAAGTCTACCAAGAGGGCTGAGGAGGCTCTGTTCCTACCTGGCACCAGCCTCAGCCACGTTGACTGAAGGCTGCTTCTGAGCCTTAATTATGACTCTTTTGGTGTACATGTGAGTATGAGCAGTGCCCACACATGCTCAGCCGAGAAATCTTTGTGTCTCTACTTACGTCTAGGAAAGAGATTCAGAAACCTTACATGAGCGGCACATTCCACCACTGAAAGCCACTTCTTGGCTTTCCTATCTATGTATACCTCGGAGACTTCATGGCCTGGGGTCCTGTTTGGCACCATGCAGTATCAATGGAGTAAATCCATAAACTTCTCTGTTCTCATCTTGCCCAATGGGAAAGGGGTGAGACAGGAAAAACCAGGGAAATGGGACTTCCACCAAAGAGCTCGGCAACACTTTCCACAGGGGTATGAACTCTGAGCCCTTGGACTCCCAGTGGATTCAAAAAGGGAATGGGGAACAGGGATGGATGCTTACCCGTGAGCGTGGCCATCACAGCTATCAGTTATCACAAATACGAAATAAAATCTCTGCACAACAGAGCAAGCTCTTAAGTTCATGGGGGGCTGGGCCCGATTTGGATGTCATTTCCCCTCAGTGTTTTCCCATCACAGAGGATTTTGACCTGTGAAGCTGTCATCCGTTAACACTAAAATTTCAAAATAAGATTCTTTTTGGAGTGTTCTCTTTTATGCTTTCTAATTCCTTAGTAGTAAACACTCATGGGATCCTAACCTAAGAGCATAATTGTCTTTATAGATTTTTTTTAATACTCTAGTTTACTATTATCTATCGCTCAACCATAGACAAGTTGCTAAGACAATGTTTGGTGTCAGATGATGAACTAAGTCAAAACTGATCAATACATTGCCTTCTTAAGAATTTGTAGAAAGTAGACAACCAGGAACTAAGCCCTTTCTTTCTTGTGTGAGGCCTAAGTTGTAATGATACTGTATGTGTCACTCTAGGGTCTGGGCGAAGAGCTCCTCTAATCTGATCCCTCAGCCAGAGGACCTCAGTTCCAGTCTGATTAGTCCTATCAGGCTCTTTCTGGTCACCTCCCCCAACAAAAAAAGTGTTTCTCCCAGTCTTTGCAGCATTCCCCAGCTCTCCTTGTGCATCAGATTCGCCTGTTAAAAATGCGTTTTGCCATGCCCTACCTCAGATCGCTAGAATTGGAATCTCCCGGGGTGGGGGCTGGGATTCTGTATGTCTATCAAGCTACCCTGGTGACTATTTCATGGCCAGCCTGGCAGTAGTACACCCTGCTCTGGGCAGCAGCGCTATTTGCCTTCTTGCTCCAAGACAGATGACTTTTCAGCGCGTGCTGAGGATCTGTGCCACTTACGCCTGACGTTGGTGCTGTCCTCAGGGTGGGAGGAATAGGAAGAAGGTCTGTATATGCCTGGAACTCCATGGGCCTCTGAGTCCTGACTTTTTTAATATTTTACTTTGTCCAAACTTGAGAGAGATCATCATTTCATCTTTCCCATTCCCTCTTTTGACATGATCCTCACTTCATAAAGCTCCCTGGATGTCAGATTGGAATTCTCCCACAGCTCTTGCGCTGTGCCACTGCCTGAGATGTTTGAGTAGCTACCTTTGCCTGCTGGGTCTATGGAAGTTAATTTATATGTGGCTCTAGAGGAGTGAATTGATTCTAATATCCAAGCCCAAGCCACTTTTCAAGAGCATAGGATCTCCCAGGCAAATGCTTGCCTCTACAAACTGCCCAAAACAGTGAAAGAGGCAAATTTCCCCAACATTGAAAATAAGGCCAGGGCAGTAGGCGGTGGTGCAAACAGTGAAGAGGGCCAGTGAAGAGGACAGACAGTGATAGATTCAACCATCTCTGATTTCCCCTCTGAAATTCCAGCCTCTACGTGAAGTATTTTAGAGTTAGCAACTTCCTTAGGAACCATCTCTCTGGGATTCTAGAGTACCAAGCTGCTTGCTTCTCCTTCTCCAAAAGAATCACCCCACCCCAAGACAAGGAAAGAGACTAGCCACATGGAAATCTCAGGATCTTGTTCAAGATCTACTTTAAAACAGCCTTAATGGGCCGGCCCGGTGGAGTAGAGGTGGCGTAGGTGTTAAGTTCGCACGCTCTGCTTTGGCGGCCTGAGGTTTGTGGGTTTGGGTCTCCGGCGCGGACCTACGCACCACTCGTCAGGCCACACCGTGGCGGCATACCATATAAAGTAGAGGAAGACGGGCACGGATGTCAGCCCAGGGCCAGTCTTCCTCAGCAAAAGAGGAGGATTGGCAACAGGTGTTAGCTCAGGGCTAATCTCTCTCACCAAAAAAAAAACAGCTTTAAATTTCCTATATTCTAAGTCCTAGATGGACTTCTTGAAGGAGAATCTAGCTGTAGTATCCTATATAGTAGCCACTAGCCATTGGTAGTGGTTTAGATTTAAATTAATTAAAATTAAAATTCAGTTCCTCAGTCATACTAGTCATGTTGCAGGTGCTCAATAGGCACATGTGGCTAGTGGCTACTGTTGGACAGCACACATACAGACCATTTCCATCACTGCAAAAGTGCTACTGGACATCTCTGGTCTAAATTAATTTTTATTTGTGTGTGGCATCTTACCCTTAACCTCAACTCCCCCCCCAAAGAAAAAAGTTTAGAGAACATATAATAATACTATGATGGCATTTTTACATAACATAAGACAGTGTAGTATAAAATAGTGCTATATAACCTCTTTAAAAATCTGACCCAGGGGCCAGCCACATGGTGTAGCAGTTGAGTGCGCGCGCTCCGCTGTTGGCGGCCCGGGGTTCGGATCCCGGGCGAGCACCAATGCACTGCTTGTCAGGCCATGCTGTGATGGCGTCCCATATAAAGTGGAGGAAGATGAGCACAGATGTTAGCCCAGGGCCAGTCTTCCTCAGCAAAAAGAGGAGGATGGGCATGGATGTTAGCTCACGGCTGATCTTCCTCACACACACACAATAAAATAAAATAGATAAAAAAATAAAACAAGTAAAAATTTGACCCAGTGTTGAGAGAGAGTTAGCAATGAGTCTCCTATTGATGGGTTCCGGTGGCTGGCACTGGAATTGAGTGATGAGAGTGGCAGTACACTCAGTTGTGTAATAGGGGATGTTTGGGGAGCTGAGAACTGTGACAAGAGTAGAGGACAGTGTTCTGCTAAACATCCTTTCCAATTTGGCAACATCTGTTCATCCCCAAACCATCGCATAGAAAGGCATCTGTTTGCCTTCTCAGCCTCCTTAGCTGCATGGGGTCTAAGGATGAGTTTAAACCTAAAAGAGGGATGAAGTTGATCTAAATTTCTCAGGGCTAGTAGTCAGGATTGCAGAGTGAGCTCGCTCATGTCTAGAGTAAACATAATGGCCTGAAATGCCTAATTGCAGGACTGTAATTGATGATTTTACAAAAAGCCAAGCTGGGCAACTAGCCTAAGACCTCCACTTCCGGGAAAGAAGGGAGTCCTAAAATTTAAAGTAATTTTTTGGAGGGTGAGAAAGGGATAATTTTCAAACAAAGGGGCTTCGACTATAATTTAACTGTGTTTCTATCTATAGTTACTATGTGGCTTCATCTTCTATAAAATGAGAGCAATTGCTAAGATTTTAATTTAATTAAAACTATATTCTTTTCAACATAAAATTAGCAGTTATGGAGAGAGATTAGAAGGTAGAATCAACTTCTGATTATTTTTGTGCAAAAATCTGCTATTGCGTTGTCTATAAATGTTTCTCAAAAAATAGTTTACAATTTACTGTGTGATTTAAACCCAAGCTAAATATAAGTTAATTTCACTGACTATGTATGTTATCACAACTCTATTGACTTACTTTTACAGACCAGCAAAGCAAAATTAAAAATGAATATATGTGATTGACATAGGCCAGTTAACAAATCTCTGATAGGCATTAGTTAGGGATCCACAATACCCTGGCATTTCTGTTGAGGGCTATGCCCCTCTTCTGCATAAACAGTCCTGGTCATTCCAAGTAAGGTTATTTTTTAAATGCAGTATTGAGAAAAAAGTAATGACAACCAGAGTAAGGAGATTTGAATAGAGCTTTCAGTTAAAGGGTATCTTCATGTATTCCGTACATTTAATGGGCATCTACTATTTGCCAAAGAATGTTCTCAAGGCTGTGGATACAGCAGGGAACACAGCAGGCAAAGCCCCTCCTTTCATGCAGCTTATATTTTAGTCTGTTGGGGAGTGGGGGAACAAACAGATATATGTCAGATGATGGCAAGTACTATGAGGAAGAACAGAGCTGGTAAGGAGCTGGGGCGTGAAGGAGGGTGCTGTCTTAAAGATGGTGATAAGGGACATCTTCTCTGGGAGTAGTATTTGAGCACAGACCCTTGTGAAGCAGAGACCTGAGGCAAAGTGCCCCGGGAAATGCCGATGTCAATACGACAGAATCTATAAAGGGTATAGTGAAAATGCCGTATATGCTTGGTGCTATGCCAAGTGTTGTGGAAGATAAAGAAGCTCAGATGTGACAGTAAGGACAGTATGACAGAGAGGTTATGTCCTTATGAGCGCGTTGGCTCTGGAAACGTGCTGCCTGGATGATTCTGCTATTACCAGCTAGGTGACTGCAGAAGAGTTCCTTAACATGTCTCAGTTCCCTCAACTGTAGAGTGGGTAGAATAATAGCAGTACTGACTCCTTGGAGTTGCTAGGAGGGCTGATGTGTTAACATATGGAAAGTGCTTAGCAAGTGTCAAGTGCTGGCATGTAAGCAAGCATGTGAATATCTTGGTAACAGCGCTGGTCTTGGCTCTCAAGGACTGTCTTCCAGCATTTCTGGTAACAACCTCATTAAGGTGATGCTTAACAGCAGATCACGAGCCCTTTATGGCGTTTCTGATCATACTGATACAATTAGGAGATTGATAACCTTCTGATCTTCTAGTTTCTCTACATCAGTAGTTCTCAACTGGAGGCAATTTTGCCACCCAGGGGACATTTGGCAGTGTGGAGATATTTTTGGCTGTCACAACTTGGAGGGGTTGCTACTGGCATCTAGAGGGGCATAAGATGATACTACATCTCCTACAATGCACAGGAAAGCACCCCTGCCACACACACCCAACAAAGAATTCTCTGGCCCAAAATGTCAATAGTGCAATTGTTAAGAAACCCTACTCTATATTAATCAGATGATTAATATGTGAAGGATGAAGAGCTGATGATTCAAACAGATTTCTCTTCCATCTCATTCGATCACACTCAATCTCACTCAAATGGTGCACCACTAGCCCAAGCATCCCGACTGGGGAGATGTAACCAGGGCTCTTTTGGAACCCACTCAAGTGATCTCAAAGGGAGTAGTGGAGTAGACATTATAAAAATACGCAGCAGGATCACAGGAGTCTGATGAGAGGAAGTGAGTGCAACCAGGCTTCTGGGCACCAGTCACTCACTGCCCAGTCTGTGCCTTAACTGCTCTTGGCTTATGTCCACCTTAATTCAGTCAGCTGTGGCCAGAAGAGGAAAGTTTAAAGGGGCAAAACATGATCATTTAGGGCCTCGGGGAAAGATGAGCAGGATGAATGTCAAAAAGTTCCACAGGCCCAGCGGGATTTAGACCCGTGTTCCTCAACCTCTTTTTCTTTATCACCCCCACCCTCAATAAGCTTTTTAGACTATTTT